TCTAAAAGTCCTTTTTTTTTAAGATGGGATCTTGCTCTGTCACCCAGGCTGGAGTGCAGTGGCACGATCAGAGGTCACTGTAGCCTTGAACTTTTGGGCTTAAGCGATCCTAACACCTCACCTCCCAAAGTGCTGGGATTACAGGCATGAGTCACTTCGCCAACCCAGCAAGCTTTATTGCTTTACCTTTCACGTTTCAATGTATTCCATCATAACGTATTTGCAATTGATTTCTGAGTATAGCATGTGATAGGAGTCAAGGTTAATTTTGTTTTCCACACGGATATCCTCGACCCAGCTCCATCTGTAAGCCCATCTCTGCCCCCACTGATCTGCAATGCCACCTTTGTTATAAAGCAAATTGTTTATAATATACATACAATGGAATTGTGAGTTCCAGGGCCACCTTTTTGAGGAACTCAAGCCCGGAAACTGTATCTGCTGCTCTTCACAGCTGATCATCCATTCCTTCCCACCCACAAACAGATGCCCCTTGACCACTGCCCAGGCCTAGGGGTGCATACACCAGCAGTGCCACTGACCCCTGGGACATGGGCCCACGGAGAAAGCCTGCGCAGGGCCGGGAAATAAGCTTTGATCTTTCGACAGTGAATTCTGGTTCCCAGGTATCTGGCATAGCCTAGAAAGTGGGAGGGTGACAGTCTCCAGGTGGCCATAACTCCTTGACCTCAAGAATGACTCATCTGTAGGGAAGAACGTGGCTAGAGCAGGGCCAGAGTGAGAGCCTCTAAAGTCTTCTTACATGGGCCTAAGAGTGGTGATCCTAAAAAGCAAGCCTCAAAATCCTGAACTACTCCTCCCTTCATGTCTTTTCTTTGTGTCCTATACTTAGTCCCCAAGCAACTTAAAATGGGTTTTCCCTACATGGGTTACATTGGTCTGTTTGTTACATTGGTTAATTTTTCTCTTCTTATGCCAAAACCGTGTTTCCTTAATTGCTACAGCTTTGTACTTACATACTATAACTTTGATAGTCAGGTCTTGATACCTGGCAGTGTAAAAGTGTAAATCCTCCAACTTTCTTAAAGATTACCTTTGTTATTCCTTTTTTTTTATATTTTGCGTTTTTTTAACTTTTTTTTTTTTTAGATTTTTTTTTTTTTTTTTTTTTGAGTAGGAGTTTCTTTCTTCTTCCTTTTTCTTTTTGGGTCGGAGTCTCACTCTGTCGCCCAGGCTGGAGTGCAATGACACAATCTTCAGTTCATTGCAATGCAACCTCTACCTCCCCGATTCAAGTAATTCTCCTGCCTCAGCCTCCCAAGTAGCTGGGATTACAGATGCATACCACCATGCCTGGCTAATTTTTTTGTATTTTTAATAGAGATGGGGTTTCACCATGTTGGCTAGACTGGTCTCGAACTCCTGACCTCAGGCAATTCGCCCACCTCAGCCTCTCAAAGTGCTGGGATTACAGGCATGAGCCACCGCGCCTGGCCGGCCCCTTGCATTTCTATATAAATTTTAGAATTACTTTGTCAATTTCCATGAATAGCTCTGCAGAGATTGTGTTTGGGATTGTATTGAATCTATAGATCAATTTGACACCTTAACAATTTTGAGTCATTCAATCATGAACATGGTACATCCTTTCATTTATTTTGTGCTTTTAAAATTTCTCTCCATTATGCTTTGTAGTTTTCAGTGTAGAGGCAATGCACAGCTTTCATTAGATAATCCTAATTATTTCACATTTATATTGATGCTACTGTAAATTGTATCTTTTTCAAAATTTCTTTTTCTATTTCTTTCTTGTTGACATAGAAATACAATTTATATCTGTATATATACCTTGTATCTAGTGCCTTTACAATGTTCAGTTATCCATTCAAATAGTGTAGATTCTTCAGGATCCACTATGTATAGAAGGTATCAAATATGAAAAGTGACAGTTTTATTTTTTTCAAATTTTCCCTTACTAAATGGGCTATTTGATGGTACTATAAATGGAATTTTTTTCTTAATTTTTTCTTGGATTGTTTTGAACTGTTCCAAAAGTTGGTTGAATTTCTTTACTAATTCTAACATTTTGTGTGTATGTATGTGTGGGTAGCCCTTAGGGGTTTTTTTTTGGTAGAATTTTCTACATATATATTATCTGTGAATAGAATCAATCTCTTTAATCGGTGTGAAATTATTCAGATGTTGTATTTCTGTGTCATTTTTGGTAAACTGGAGTTTTCAAGGAAGTAGTCTATTTTGTCCACATGTCAAATTCATTTGCAAAAATTGTTTATAGGATTATTCTTTTTTTTTTTTTTTTTTTGAGATGGAGTTTCGCTCTTGTTGCCCAGGTTGGAGTGCAGGCACGCGATCTTGGCTCACCGCAACCTCCGCCTCCTGGGTTCAAGCGATTCTCCTGCCTCAGCCTCCCGAGTAGCTGGGATTACAGGCATGTGACACCATGCCCGGCTAATTTTTTGTATTTTTAGTAGAGACGGAGTTTCTCCATGTTGGTCAGGCTGATCTCAAACTCCTGACCTCAGGTGATCTACCTGCCTTGGCCTCCCAAAGTGCTGGGATTACAGGCATGAGCCACCATGCCTGGCCGGATCTTATTGTTTTTAGTATCTTCAGGATCTCCAGTGATGTTTCTTTTTTCATTAAAAAATTTGTTTAAGAATATTGTTAAATCTTCTTGCGTCTGACCTTTTTCACTTTAACTTTGATTGTTCTTCCTTTCATTTGTTGGTCTTGAATGCTCAACAATTTTAATTTTCTTTTAATATACCTCCTTTGCCTTTGTTGATTCCTTTAGTGTATGTTTATTTTCTAGTTCCTTGATTTCTTCCCTTATGATTTGTTTTCTTCTACTTACTTTGGGTTTTACTTATTATTCTTTTTCTAGTTTCATGAGATGGAAGTTTAGGTAATTGATTTTCAGTCTTTTTAAAAAAACTTATGTGCTTTAGATTGTAAATGTGTATTAAAAACAGCTTTAGCTGTATCCTATCAGTTTTGATATGCCATATCTTCATTGTAATTCAGTTAGAAAATACTTTCTTGACCGGGCTTATGCCTGTAATCCCAGCACTTTGGGAGGCTGAGACGGGTGGATCACGAGGTCAGGAGATCGAGACCACGGTGAAACCCCATCTCTACTAAAACCACAAAAAAATTAGCCGGGCATGGTGGCAGGTGCCTGTAGTCCCAGCTACTCGGGAGGCTGAGGCAGGAGGATGGTGTGAACCTGGGAGGCAGAGCTTGCAGTGAGCCAAGATCGTGCCACTGCATTCCAGCCTGGGTGACAGAGTGAGACTTTGTCTCAAAAAAAAAAAAAAAAAAAAGAAAAGAAAAGAAAATACTTTCTCATGTTGTTGTGATTTCTTCACTGACTCATGGGTTATTTAGCAGTGTACAATATCACTTAATCTCCATGCAACTTAATTCCACTATTGTCAGAAAAGTGTTTAGAATTATTTTAATCTTTTGAAATTGCTGGAGTTTACTTTATAACCCAGGATACAGCCAGTTTTGGCAAATTCCTTACATTCTTTGTTCCAATATTGCTGCTGACTGTACGTCCTGTCTCCAGAAGAAGGCACAACCAAATTCTGAGGTCTAAGCTAGGAAGTGATACATATCACCTGCTCACTTTCTACTGGCAAGAATATATTCACATATCCATGGCTTAATGCTAGGAGCTTAATGCTTAATACTAGGGGCTTAATGCTAGGGTGGAGGGAAAGCTGAATTTTCAGAACAGATTATCCCCCTATAAGACAGCAAGATAGTGGCAAACTGTCCTACACAGATAGTGTTCCATCAGATTGGTCTGATTTGGAGGACTTTCCTATGTTTTACCAGTCGCTGTGGCAAAAGTGGTAGAGAGTAATCCTGTTGGAACAAGCCCAGATATTCATTTCTTTTATCAATAACAGACACTGCTAATCCCACAAAAAGCCACAAAAAACGGGTTCCAAGGGGGGTCAGGCGCTGCGGCTCATGCCTGTAATCCCAGCACTTTGGGACACCAAGGCGGCCAGATCACTTGAGGTCAGGAGTTTGAGATCAGCCTGGCCAATATGGTGAAACCCTGTCTCTACTAAAAATACAAAAATATAAAAAGTATGGTGGCCTGTGCCAGCTACTCAGGAGGGTGAGGCAGGAGACTCGCTTGAAACCCGGAGGTGGAAGATGCAGTGAGCCGAGATCGCGCCATTGCACTCCAGACCGGAGGACACTGCAAGACTCCCTATCACACCAAAAAAAAAAAAAAAAAAAAAAAAAGATTCCAAGGAGGGAAGATGAGTTATCTTACAAAGAAAAGGGAATAAGCTGGGTGTGGTGGCTCGCGCCTGTAATCCCAACAGTTTGGGAAGCTGAGGTGGGAGGATGGCTTGAGTTTAGGAGTTCGAGACCAGCCTGGGCAACATGGTGAGACCCTGTCTCAAAAAAAGTGGGGTGGGGAATAAGTAGTACCGTAGAGAACCTACAGCTAAAACAAACAAAAATGGTGCTCACTACAAAGAGTGAGAAAAAGGAAAAAGGTAGCTTCTGAATTTGGAAATTCAAAGGTCACTGGTGTTCCTAATGAGATCCACGGTTGTGGAGTGGCGCAGGGAAGCCACCTGTGGCGCAGAAGTCGTCAGTGGGTGGGAGGAACGAATGTAGCATGGAGTGGACGTCACTTTCAAGGTGATCAGCAGTGACAAGCGGCAAATACAGCGTCCTGGCTCGAGTTGCCCCAAAAGGTGGCCCCTAGAACAAGAATTTGAGCGCAAGTACAGTAGTTTTTTGGGAGGTGATTGGGGTAGTGAGTCAGGGAAAGGAAGCAAGCCAACAGAAGATGCATTGATGAGCAAGTTACAGCTGTGGACAACTGAAGCTCGACCCTACAGAGGACCACCGCAACACGCCTAGGACATATGCCTCCCCGCAGGGCATTCTTGACCAACTCTATCCCTCTGGAGGAAATAACCTCTGAGTCCGCCCCATTTCTGCTCTGAGCAAGCTCTCCACAGCCAGCGAATGCCTACAGGTGGAGCCGGTGCGCAAGACGAGCGAGTGAGTGCCTGGCGGCCCTGTGGACTTTGGGCAACTCTGAGAGGGAGAAGGTCGCTTTTACAATATGCTCGGGTAGATAAGGTGAGCATCGGGGAACAGGAAGGGGAGAGGCCCCAGGGTGCTCTTTCTCTAAAGGAGAGTAAAAGATGCAAGGCGCAGGGCTGATGCGGGTAATTTATGAGGGAGTGTAGGAAGCTTGTGGGAACTCTGATGATCATTGTCCTCTCTTTGTCCCTCAAATGCAGCAACATGTTCTTCCGGGTGGGCTATCAGAACCGAAGGGACTTTTAAGAGTCACTTTCCGCCGCTCATAAGGGGAAATCGAGGTCCGGAGAAGGGAAAGCAAGTGGCTGAATGCCGGTAAAAGGCAGGAAGAGAGCGGAGCCCAGGGCTCCAGGGGGCCGGTTCGGGACCTGCTTCCACCAGCGGAGTCTAAGGTCATCCCCGTGGCCGTGCGCCACCCCGGTCTCAGCCGAAGGAAGGCGCACTGGACCCAAACAAATCCGACGCTCCGAGTCTCCGCAGTCGTTAAGCAAAGAGGAAGGGGAAGCGCTTCTTCACTAGGCCACAGGACCGGGCCTTAGAACTTTTGGGTTTTATCCATAAAAGGTCCTTTGGCAATAGAAGAAAAACCCAGATAGAAACCTGCAAACTGGGATCTTCTGCCGGCCCCGCCCTCCGGCTGCGACCCTGAGCTTGAGAGGAACCGCCCCAGGCCCGGACTCCGGTTCCACTGCGCAGTCTGCGCGCTGCAGTAAAGCCGCGTCCACCGCCGCGGGTCCCCAACCCTGCGCCGCCGCCGCCGCCCCGGGGAGGGTACGAAGAAGGCGCGCCGCGGCCCACGGGCCCCTCCAGAGCGCGGCGGGGCCGGGCCGCGCGGAATCACGGGCCAGAGGCGGGGCCGCGCCGGGGTGGGCGGGCGTGCTAGCGGCGCTTTCCACTCCGGCAGACGCGCGGGCGCCCGGGCGCGGCGCCGCCGGCACCGGAGAGGCACGGCAGCCGGGGCGGGCAGCGGCGGCCGGGCCGCGGCGGGCGCCCGGGCGGGGTCGGCGCTGAGCCGCCTTCTCGGCCGGCTGGTCCCTGCGGCGGCTGCCCGGCGGCCTGGGCGCGCGGCCCTTCGCCATGTACACCTTCGTGGTGCGCGATGAGAACAGCAGCGTCTACGCCGAAGTCTCCCGGCTGCTTCTCGCCACCGGTCACTGGAAGAGGCTGCGGCGAGACAACCCCAGGTTCAACCTGATGTTGGGAGAGAGGAACCGGCTGCCCTTCGGGAGACTGGGTGAGCCCTTCCCAAATTCCTGCCTGCCCTCCCCGGAGCGGCCCTGCGCGCCTCCCGCGGCCCGTTAGAACCAGCGCTTTTGTTTTTAAAGGTCATAAATCTTCCCCTTGGTTGCTTCTTGGGCATATCAAAAATGGGATTCGGAAAGATCGAAACCTGTCGTTTTTAATGCTTTCTTGTCTCTTAACTCGGATTTAGAGTCGGAGTCGCGGTGCGGCCACTCGGGGCCGCAGCTGCCTCCTGACAATGACCGGTCCCTGCAGCCCGGGAGACGTCGGCCGCCGGGGCTGGGACCTGACGCGGGAGTATAGCTGCTCCCCCGGGCCGACGCCTCCAAATCGGGCCGGTCCGCCGCGCCGAGAGCGGCGCAGGGCGCGGCTCCGCAGAGCCGGCGGCCGGCATAGGCTGGAGTCATCTTGCAGCTCTTCCTCACTGAGAATTTCTCCCTGCTTGGCGTGGGCGCGGGGGGCGGGGGAGCTGAAGGTGTTGAAACCCTTGAGGCTTCTGCCACCCGAAGGGGCGGAGGAACGGTCAGAAGATTTAGAAAAGATCCCTGGATTCCAAAAGCAGGAGTTGCAGAAGAGACCCTAGCCCAGGGAAGCGTGTAGGGGTGTCTGATTATAAACCTTTCCTTAGTTTCACCAAATAACATGTTCTCGCAGTTCTGCATTGGATTAAGGTCTTACATGAGTCTGTGTTTCGCCCTCCCTCTCTTCCCTGTTCTCCCCGAGGGAATTACCTTCATCCACATGGTTGAAGCTGGCTGGGCACCACCATACTCACTTGTAGGAAAACGCAGGAGATAGGAGGGGACTAGCGGCTCCTTTGTAAATGATGTCATCCAGAAGTTGCCCAGATCAGTTCAACTCACATCCCATTGACCTGAGCATAGTCTCATGGCCTCCCTCTCTGCACAGTCATCTGGGAATTGCAGCTTCTCTCTGGGGAGCCATGTTCCTTGCCAGAATTCACCAGAGGTGGGGGCCAATTGTATTCCAAAGACAAGGGAAAAATTGTTACAGAGGAAGAGTCACCTCTACCTTGGAGGACAACCCAGAGAGAGCAGTGTTCTATGTCCAGGAGAGGAAACAGTTTTTAGAAATAGGTGTGGTCAGAATTCGAATGGGTAAAAACTGAATATAGGCCATTTGGAATTGACTGGTCATTGGTGAGCTTCCATAGACAGAGCCTTTGGGGGGCGAGGGGGGCTCTGTAAAACTCAAATCGTTGGAGGAATGAAGAGCTGCAGTGTAAAGTTGCTCAATTTTTTTGATAGTACCTGGGACAACTTTTCATTGGTATACAAGTTTATGATGTAGAATGGTGACTCCATGGAAGGACCCATTTGAACACCCAGGAATCTCAGAATATGGAGACGGTGCCTGGAGACTCCCTTTTGTTAACTTTGCTAGGGTCAGGAAGACCCTAGCAAAGAGAATACATGATCCTAAAGGAGACGAAGAATTGCTTATAGTTGAGAACAATTATTTCTTCCTTGCATTGTCCACTTCCCTTTCCAGACTTCCTGACTTCCCTCTATATTCTTGGCAGTGCCTAGCTGTGAAAGCTTAGGTGGAATCCTAACATTAAAAACAACAAACATGGCTCCGCCCAGGCAGGGGTAGGAGTGACTGGCATTACCCTGGTGCTTAAGCCTTGGAATGAGAAGCAGAAGCCTACAGAATTTGAATCCTGTACAGATAACACAAATTCAGGAGATGATCAGTAAACGTTTGAGCTGTGTGTTTGTGTGTGTGTGTGTTTTGTTTTTTTGTTGGGTTTTTTTTGTGACAGAGTCTCACCCTGTGGCCCAGGCTGGAGTGCAGTGGCATGATCTCGGCTCACTGCAACCTCCCCCTCCTGGGCTCAAGCGATTCTCCTGCCTCAGCCTCCCAGGTAGCTGGGATTACAGGCACGCACCACAATGCCCAGCTAATTTTTTGTATTTTTGGTAGAGACAGGGTTTTGCCATGTTGGTGAGGCTGGTCTCAAACTCCTGACCTCAGGTGATCAACCCACTCCGTCCTCCCAAAGTGCTGGGATTACAGGCGTGAGCCACTGCGCCTGTCCAACATTTGGTTTTTATGGGAAAGAAAACAGCATCCTACAATGAAATTGGTTATATGCCATCACCGTTAAGCGATATTTACCTTTTGCTTAAAGTGTACTACATGAAAGCCAAGGATAAGATTTATAGAGCCAGGTAAAGGCTCTGGAAGGCAGGGCCCCTGTGGATAAGAAGGTAGGCAGTTCCGGTGGGAATCAGGTCTGTCTGCTCAGGGAAACGAGTGAGAGCCAGCTAATGCCTGCCTGAAACTTTTGATTTGACTGTATGCCATTCTCAGATAAATTATTCTTACTTCTGGCATTTTCAACTGAAAAGTCCTTCGTTTGGTCTTACTTTGATTTTATTACTGGAAATATGATGCGTTTTATTAAGATTTGAAACAAAACATTTTTTTTTTGTTGCTTTTTTTTTTTTTTTTTGAAATGAAGTCTCACTCTGTTGCCCAGGCTGGAGCGCAGTGGTGGGATCTCGGCTCACCGCAACCTCTGCCTCCCAGGTTCAAGTGATTCTCATGCCTCAGCCTCCCAAGTAGCTAGAATTACAGGTGTGCTCCACCATGCCCAGCTAGTTTATGTGGTTTTAGTAGAGACGGGGTTTTGCCATGTTGGCCAAGCTAGTCTTGAACTCCTGATCTCAGGTGATTCACCCGCCTCAGCCTCCCAGACTGCCAGGATTACAGGCATGTGCCTCAGTGCCCGGCTGAAAACGCTTTTTATTTTTAATAAAAATTTGTTTTTCTTTGTATCCTTTCTGCTCTAATTTTATAAAAAAAGGCCACAGGTAATAAGAGCTGTTGAAAATTAGTTTCCCTGTGGAATGAGGCACAGAAGAAAGCTCTCAGGGCCTCTGATCTTATACACATGGCCTTTCCACTACCTTCCTTAACCTCCTAGAAGCTTGCAGAGATACACTTGCTTGAAACCAGCATCATTCTGGTTCTCCTTCCTTCCTTGGTGTAGAAAACCAGGTTACGGATGTGGAACGCATGACTGTTAAAGTAGCCTTACTGTACAGAGTCACAAGTCTGTATGTGTTAAGCCTGGAGGGGAATGCAGTGTGCAGTCAGGGAGAGGTGAAATGAAAAATACCCTCAATACCCTGTACCCTAATAAGAAAATACAAACAAAGGTAGCAGCAGTCTTGGCAAGCCTACGAGGTTGATATTATAATATCCATTGTGGGGAGACCGAAGGTTGCCAGCGGGATACGGAGAGAAAGAGGGTCCCTGGGGACAGAGAAACAAAATTGTTCCATTTTCCATTTTATAACAGCCAATCCTGAGATGAGAGAGAAAAGCTGGGCGTGACACAGCTGTCCTCTCTCCTGCTTGCTGCTGCTGACACTGTCATTCCCCACCTGTCCTGTGTCCCTTCTGAGCCTCCTCTTTCCTTCCTAGGTCACGAGCCCGGGCTGGTACAGTTGGTGAATTACTACAGGGGCGCTGACAAACTGTGTCGCAAAGCTTCTTTAGTGAAGTAAGTGTTAAGACCGCTGTTTTCCATTTTTACCTAAATGAAGCACTTAGGCAAAAATGTGGGGTTGTTTAAAGGACAAACATGCTTTTATTTTAAAAGCCAACAAATATCAGTTCAGAAGCATCCTCTAAGCTGCTTTGGTTGCAGTCCAAAACATGGTGCTTGATAAAGCCTGTCTGTCTCTGAGGCGAGGCTCCTAGAAGCAGAGCCTGACTCAGGGTCGTCTGTGTAAGTAATTTTCCTGGGGTAGGGTTCTTTAAGACACCCATCGGGAAGCAAGGACAGGGCAGGGCACGGGCAGAACCAAGTAAAGAGGTGGTTTTAGCCAAAGTCTTGCCTCTCCTGACTCCAAGGAGCACCGGAGTGAATGGCACCTCAGAGTCGTCACATTTTGAGCAAGGACCAGGCCTCTATGCTCCAGTATCAGTCAGCCATCGGCTGTGGGAGGAGATGGAGGGCTTAGCTTTGCAGGCATTTCTGGGCAGGGGCTGGTCCCCGGAGAAGGACATATATAGCCCTTAGCATGCATCTCTCATGGCTGCAGTGGGTCCCTCAGAAAGGATATCGGGGCAGGGTATAAAACATCCACTCCACTAGCCATCTCTGAGCAACTGGATTATGGCTTGGTATCACCACGGTATCACAAAGTGAAGGAGACAGTGTTAGACAACGATTACGATCTAGGGTCAAAAGTGTAAGTTTTCAGCCCAGCTCTTCCTCTCACTAGCCCATTGGGCAGATCTCTTCATCCCTCTAAGCCTCAGTGCCTCCCTCGTAAGGCTATTATGAGAATTAAATAAGGTGATGCATGTAAAGTTTATATAGCACAGTGGCCTGGTGCATAATGAGTATTTGATACTACCTTAATTTTCTTGGCTGTCAAATGGGGAAATAATAATAACTACCTTAGGTGGTTATGAGGATTAATTGAGCTAATTTAGCTAAGGGCCTTGAAGAGTACCTGTCCATACTGTATAAGTGAAAGCACTCCTTATTATTGCTGTTAGTATAGTTGTCGTTGCTATTGTTATTTCAGTAGGGAAACGCTGGGTCAGGCCACTAAAAATCAGGGCTGTCGTGGGCCTCCAGTATTCTTTCCATGATGGCTGGTGAACATGTGTGTGTAGCCAGGTCCTGGGAGATATGACTCAATGCAAAATGCTCTTTTCCCACTAACATTTTTTTCTGGGCTCTAGATATTTAGTAGGTTGGGTGCTCACAGGAACATTTCTGCTTTTTGTTCACTCATTGGCCCTGGTAACTTATGGACCCACTCCTCTCTATGATGGATTTATCAGGATTCATCCCACTCCCGAAGGAGTGTGAGGCTTCCTGAAGTCATTTTGTGACATATTTTATATTTAGAATGCAAATGACTGTTACACTGGAATCAGAAATAGAAATGGGACATGCTTGTTTGTTCAGATTATTCACTTAGAAATTCTTATTAAATATTTGTTAAGCCTTTTCTGCTATGATTTTTCCCCTAAAGACAAAGTAGGAAGCAGAGGATGCTGTAAAAAAATAATGGTCTCCATATTTGCATATGTCACAGTTATAGTGAAGCAGAGTGAGTCTAGGGCTGGAGTCGTGACCAAGTGTGATAAATACCTGTGACCTTGGAGAGCATCAGAATCTCAGTGTCTCATCTGTAAAATGGGGATGGATGGTGGTGACAGTACCTGCTCGTTGCCCCACGGAGGCATGCAGTGTGATCCGTGATAGCACCTTGTAATGGTGACATGACCTATGCAGACCTATGCATCATGCTCGTCAGCTTCCATCTTTGTCTCAGTTGTCCTGTGAGGGGCTTGTGGTAGTTCCGAGATATGATGGCTCCCTTTATCCATTTGTCTCTCTCCCATGATTTTGTATGGCTTGAAAGGGCTCCAGAGAGTGAGAAATAAAGTCTCCTTCATTATATAGGACAAAATGGCAGCTCAGAGAGAACAGCCGGGTTGCCCATGGCTATAGTAGCTCCTATTAAGCCAGGACAGTTTTAATCTGCACAAATGGGACCCCTGGCCATTGTGACTGTGTACCCTCAGGAGGCTTCCCAGAGCCTTAGTGGGGTTCAGTGTAGGAGCCTGTGCTGCCCAGTCCTTCCTCCTGTCACTTCAGGGAGTTTCAGAAATTTCATTGAGGCCTCAAGGCCATAGTCTTAAAACCCTGAGGGGCTTTTCTTCTCCTGGTGCAGATGAGAGGCGGGCTTTTCCTCTCCTGAACATTGCTGTTTTATAGATGTAAGTAAATCTCCATTTCTGATTACTTCCCAAATGGGCCCATGAGGAAATGCGACAAAAGCAAAGGACTTCCTGCAGAGCCTGGTCTTGGTTCTGTGCAGGAAATGAGGGCTTCCAAATCAAGGTCATCTTACAGACCAGCACTGTCCAACAGAAATAGGATGCTACCCACATATGTAATTATAAACTGCCTGGTAGCCACATTAAAATAAGCACAGAGAAACGGCTGCAAGCCGGGCGTGGTGGCTCACGCCTGTAATCTCAGCACTTTGGGAGTCTGAGGCGGGCAGATCACCTGAGGTCAGGAGTTCGAGACCAGCCTGGCCAACGTGGTAAAACCGCATGTCTACTAAAAATACAAAAATTAGCTGGGTATGGTGGTAGTACCTGTAATCCCAGCTGCTCGGGAGGCTGAGTCAGGAGAATCGCTTGAACCTGGGAGGTGGAAGTTGCAGTGAGCTGAGATGGTGCCACTGCACTCCAGCGTGGGAGACAGAGTGAGACTCCTTCTCAAAACAGAAAAGAAAAGAAGCAGCTGCAATTAAATGAATAATTTATTGTATTTAAATAAATCCAAAATGTTATTTTGACATGTAATTAATATAAAAAGCTGTTATGTTCTTTTTTTCATTTGGAGTCTTCGAAATCTGATGTGAATTTTACATATATAGCACATCTTAATTCAAACAGTAAATATTCATTGGAAAGCTTTGATCTGAATTTAGATTACATAAAAACTATATGGTTGAAGAAGTAGATTTATGTACCCAGGTTGTACATACAAGTTTTTCAATAACCTTGAATGCCAGATCTATTTCCTTTAATATTGCACGCACATTTTCAAAACCAGTTCATCTTTTCTAGAATAATTGATTTGACTATGAAGTAAAAGCTTATTTTCAAAATAACGTCCAAGTAAATTCACCAACTCTTTTGTTAGTTCAATATTGTAAATATCAAATTCAAAGATGTATTGAATATATTGAAAAGTAACTCTGAATTTATCAATATCAACAAAGTGTTCTTCAGATTACTTTTAGTTTTTGCAGCCAATTTTCATATTGCTATTACAATTAACATTTTTTGCATACTGAGTCATGTTATAAAAATATGTGAAATCATTATTATCAACTTCTATTAAGAAGTTGGAACATAAATTCTCACACCTGTCTGGCTGGATCGTAAATAAGGTCTTCTTTTCCCTTCCTTGGAGCTTTAAATTTAGCTTGTTTATATGCAGTATGTAGATAAGAAAATGCAAATGACAAGTCATTTTTTATTTTGATTATTGACATGATGAATTACTGAGTGAAAATAATGATTTGACAGACATTCCTTTTATTTTCAAGAAAATCTGAATTGGAGTTGAAAAGTAAATCTTTATTTTAAAAAACCCTTCCCCCTCTCCATCAGTGAATACTGGCAGAGAACACAGTATCATTAAATTTATTATCTTCTGCTTCCATGAACTGGAGAATCATCGAGTATATACAGAACCATTTTAACAACCGTATCCATGACACTTAGAGTCTGCTTCAGAAAACCTAACATAAGGCCGGGCGTGGTGACTCACGCCTGTAATCCCAATACTTTGAGAGGCCACGGCAGGTGGATCATTTGAGGTCAGGAGTTTGAGACCAGCCTGGCCAACATGGTGAAACCCTGTCTCTTCCAAAAATACAAAAAAAAATTAGCTGGGCATGGTGGTGCACGCCTGTAGTCCCAGCTACTTGGGAGGCTGAGGCACAAGAATCGCTTGAGCCAGGGAGGCAGAATTTGCAGTGAGCTGAGATTGTGCCGCTGCACTCCAGCCTGGGCGACAGAACAAAACCCTGTCTCAGATAAACAAACAGAAAGCAAACCTAACACAAATGTTTTCAATATGTAACACATAATGCCATGAAGCAGATGTTTCCAACATGTATCATACAATAAAATGAAGTAGTAAAGGAAACAATAGTCTACTAATCTTAGTAAATCCTCTTTTTTTTTTTTTTTTTTTTTTTTTGAGATGGAGTTTTACTCTGTCGCCCAGGCTGGAGTACAGTGGTGCGATCTCAGCTCACTACAACCTCCGCCTCCCAGTTCAAGCGATTCTCCTGCCTCAGCCTCCCTAGTAGCTGGGATTACAGGCTCCCACCACCACGCTCGGCTAGTTTTTTGTATTTTTAGTAGAGACAGGGTTTTACTATGTTGACCAGGTTGGTCTTGAACTCCTAACCTCAGGTGATCCACCTGCCTCGGCCTCCCAAAGTGCTGGCGTTACAGGAGTGAGCCACTGTGGCTAGCCGTAAATCTCTATTTTGATACAACCTAGCTGAAGTCCTATCTGTCACGTTAGAAGGTAATTTTTTGCATTAGGTAAAATTCTGTGACAGGTGTAAAAGGTTTTAAAATATCTATACTATGAGGTTTTGTGTGTGTGTGTGTGTGTGTGTGTGTGTGTGTGTGTTTTAGACGGAGTCTCTCTGTCACCCAGGCTGGAGTGTAGTGGCGCGATCTCGGCTCACTGCAATCTCCACCTCCCAGGTTCAAGCAATTCTCCTGCCTCAGCATCCCGAGTAGCTGGGACTACAGGCAACTGCCACCACACCTGGCTAATTTTTTGTATTTTTAGTAGAGACAGGGTTTCACTGTGTTAACCAGGATGGTCTTGATCTCCTGACTTCGTGATCTGCCCACCTCGGCCTCCCAAAGTGCTGAGATTACAGGCATGAGCCACTATGCCCGCCGAGTTTGATATTTTTTAACCTGCAATTTGACAGCGTTTTTTCATATATTTGGAAATCCTTTGAGGCAAAACATCCAAAGTATTAATTGGACAACATCTTTTATGTCACACAGTTCACCTAAAGCTAAAGAAATTACTTAATATTTTTCAAATTTTGAGTCAATCTCTGATTGTTAGAAAGGTTTTGTAGTCTGTGGGCAATTGTGACTCAGCTGAAGATTGTTCGTTTTTTGTAAATTATATTTTTAAGTCTTTTCCTTAAAATAGTTTTTTTAAAACCACATTTGCATCTAAAATGGTTTTCTTTTTGTGTAAGAATCCAAGCCATTTTATGGTTGCCCAAAATTATAAACTCAAACTCTGCTAAACATTTGCTTAAAAATATGTTGGCTATTGTGATTTCAGCCACTAGTTTTTTTGAGCATTGAGATTCATTAATTTTTTTGAGCATTGAGAGAAAAATACTTACCAAATTTATTATGTATTTGCTAAAAAAAGTCTCCTTTACACAATCGTTTTTTCATTTTACTTTGACCATAGCCTATTGCAGTCACCATTGCTTGTGAATCTGTGGCATATCTCCTTTCAGTTTTTTTAATCTCTTACTGTCCTTGTCATAGTTCTAGCTTCTGTGTTCCTACTCAGTTCCACATCAGTGGTATGCTTTTATTTTAAATTTAAAACTGTGTCCAAATATTTTTTTAACTAGGAAGAAATTCTGTTTCACCTAAGTTACCAATTGTGGTGTACATAGCTAGCACTGTAACTCATGCTCTCTGCGTAATAAACATATCATAATGTTTCATCAGTGCACAGAAATAAATCACTTGAACTGAATCAATCTATTGTCCCTGAATAGAATAGCGATGTGTTTGTGTGTGATGCTAGAAATGACACATGGCCCTGATGTGCATGCTGCAATGCAACAATAAAGTGAAGTATTATCTCACCATATCAATAAAGTTGTGCTTAATGGAAAAATATTTTATAATGCATCCATTTTTAAATTAAAGGCAAATTAAACTTTAGGCCTGGCATGGTGGCTCATGCCTGTAATCTCAGCACTTTGGGAGACCGAGGCAGGTGGATTACCTGAGGTCAGGAGTTTAAGACCAGCTTGGCCAACATGGTGAAGCCCTGTCTCTATTAAAAATATAAATATTAGCTGGGCATGGTGGCAGGCGCCTGTAATCCCAGCTACTCGGGAGGCTGAGGTGGGAGAATTGCTTGAACCCGGGAGGTGGAGGTTGCAGTGTGCCAGGATCGTACCACTGCACTCCAGCCTGGGCGACAGAGTGAGACTCTGTCTCAAACAAAAAAAAAATTAAACTTTAAATTCAATTCCTGAGTCACACTGACCACATTTCAAATGCTCAGTGGCCATATGTGGCTGACTACTACGCACTGGATGGAACAATGCAGATACAGAGTTGAACTTGCAGTGAGTTAAAAATATGTTTGTTTCTTGAAGTTCAGGTAGCTTTTCAGTTCTTTCTCTTTCGCTTTAAAATAAATTTATTTTTAATCTCTATCTAAAATGTCATTATTTCCACCATTCGTTCACAGACTGGGGTTTATAGGTGAATCTTAACATGGACTTGGCATTAACAGTTCTGTTCTAAACGGAAGAGGGAGCACAGCTCAGGGAAGGCCAGTGCATGTCTGTGGGCAGGTTCTTCCCTGTCTCTGATTCCTGGGGAGTAAGAGCAGGTTTCCAGTTAAGACTTGGGGGTTTTGTAGCAGCTTGAGCTGTTTAAAAAAAAAAAAAAAAAAAAAAAAAAAAAGAAAGACTTGGGAGTTCGGGGCTTGCGGACTGGCTGGTCCTCCCTACCTTTATGATCTTAGGAAATTTGCTTCTCTGTGACCCAGTTCCTAATTTGTGAAATGTGATACCAGTGCCTCTAGCTCCAGGGGTCTCATTGCAGAGTAGATGCAGTGGGAAGCCCCTGTGTGCTAAGGGCCTTGCCTGACTTTATCTTCTGTTCTGTTATGGTATTTGGGGAGCAGGAGGTGTATTTCACTATGACCACTGGTGTCCTGTGTTCTGTTAGAAAGATACCTTTTTTATTCTGTCACCGAAGCCAGCCTGAGCTAAAAGCAAGAAAAGAAGGGCTTTAAAAAGTCTTCTAATTCAGATTCCTACATAACCTTTTCTCCTATAGAGAGCTGGGCCAGGGTAGTCTTTTTGCTACTTAAATTTTCCTCTCTTCCCCATTTCATTTTTTAGTATGGGTCTGGCTCAACAACATATGTGTTGAAAAGGTATTGGCTCAGGATTATGTCCAGTGAAGCTTCCTTAGAGATGCATTTTAAAAAGAGCGAAAGTGTTGGACATTAAGCCTTTTGAATTAACTGGGGTATGCCTTTAAAGTTGTATCTAACAGCTGTGTGCTCCCCAGTAATGCATTTGAGCTTTGTCCAGGGAGACTAAGAGCAAACAGAGGTGTTAGAAGACTGAGTCACGCTTTGCCTCCTGGAAGATCTCTGGGGGAAAGCAGTGGCGTTTCTGAAGGGAGTGACAAAGTACACTAAGAAGGGAGGCTGACCCTCTTCTGTCATCTGCCAGGCTAATCAAGACAAGCCCTGAACTGGCTGAGTCCTGCACATGGTTCCCTGAGTCCTATGTGATTTATCCAACCAATCTCAAGACCCCAGTTGCTCCAGCACAGAATGGAATTCAGCCACCAGTCAGTAACTCAAGGACAGATGAAAGAGAATTCTTTCTCGCTTCTTATAACAGAAAGAAGGAGGATGGAGAGGGCAACGTTTGGATTGCAAAGTCATCAGCTGGTGCCAAAGGTGAGTTGGCACTGCTGTCCCCTCCTCTGTTCCTGGTGAGTTGTTCCTGTTGTGATGTATTTAGATGAACGACCCTATTTTAATCTGAATTGTTGAAGGTGGAGACCGTGTTTAGTTACATAGTTATAAATACCCATCTATGTACTGATGCCTTGTAAATGTGTATCTCCAGTATAGGTCTTTTCCTTTAAGCTCTAGATCCATTGACACCCTCACTGTCTCTAAAAGGCATTTCAAACTGAATACATCTGATACTGAACTTTTCATTTCCTTACCAACTTTGCCCATGCCAACCTGCTCCTCCTTCACGCTTTCCACTTAGTATATGATCCCACTCTTCACTCAGTCTCTGAAACTTAAAACCTAGGATTCATCCTTGACTACTCTATTCTTTGCAATCTACTCCTAATGCATTAGCAATTCTTGCTAGCTCTACCTTCAAAGTACATTCTGAATAGATTATTTCTTGCCATTTCCACTGCTTCCACTCTAAATCAAAGCCCCCATTCTCTTTAGTGTGTGTAACTGCAGAGCCTGCTCTCAACCACTTCTCCTTCCGGACAATGATGTTTCCAAAACATAAATCTAATCATGTTACTTCCTACTTGAAACTTATTAGCTGGCTTCCTAATGCAATTATAATGGACTCTGGATTCCTAATGGTAGCCTGCACCATTTGACATTTGCCCGTATCTCTGATCTCATCTCCTTCTATCCTCAGCTTTGCTCTCTGGACTGTAGACACAAAGACTGCCTAGTATCTCTCAAATATTCCAAACTTGTCTCTGTTCCTAGAATGTGCTTACATAGTTTGTTTTGTTTCTCTCACCTCAGATGCTGGCTCATCAGGGAAGGCTTTTCTAATCTGAAATAGCCTCTGTGTCCTTTGCTTTCTTTCCCTTTCCCCTGCCTCATTTACCTCCTGGCATTAACCTCTTCCTGGCACTATACTACTTCTCTGTCCATCTCTCCCATTGTTCTGTAGGCTTCACACAAACACATTCTGTCTTATTCATCCTTGTACCTTCCTCATAGGCACTCAACAAATATGTGTTGAATGAATGCGTGTAAGGGGTGAGGTTTATAATATTAAATCAGGCTGAAAATAGAGGCAGTTCCCAACGTAATGAACACATAAACAGTCTCTGTCTAATGACTGCCCTCATATGCTCTTTATAAAACCATTCCGGCCGGGCGCGGTGGCTCACTGCCTGTAATCCCAGCACTTGGGGAGACTGAGGCGGGTGGATCACAAGGTCAGGAGATCGAGACCATCTTGGCTAACATGGTGAAACCCCGTCTCTACTAAAATTACAAAAAATTAGTCAGGCGTGGTGGCAGGCAACTGTAGTCCCAGCTACTTGGGAGGCTCAGGCAGGAGAACGGCGTGAACCCAGGAGGCGGAGCTTGCAGTGAGCCGAGATCGTGCCTCCAGCCTGGGTGACAAAATGAGACTCTGTCACATTCCATTTTGAACTCATTTCTTGTATTGCCTTGGAAGACATCTGGCCATTGGTACTCATTTCTATTCTGGGTAGAAGGGACCTCACCTTCTTTTCCACCAACCATGAGACTGGAAGGCCTCACCTGGTATCCTGAAAGGGGGAGAGTTGGACTCTTGCCACAAGCCAGGTACCTCACCTACTTCTCTCTCCCCTCTTGGGACCTTTTCTCAAGTACTGCTGCCCAGCATGGTTCCAATGGTAAATGATGGAATTGGAAGAGGAAATAGACATTCAGGGTACTCCAGAATCCTCCTGTGGGTTTGGGATTGGAGTCAGTATGGCCACTGTGAGGACACCTGGGTGATCCCTGGACCCTCACCAAGGCAAGACTCAGAGGGACACCCAGCAGCAGGGGGAAGTCAAGAGAGAATAAAATGCCACACGAAGACTTTTTGCTTTAGGAGTTGAGGAGATAAGTGATATATATTTATTATGTTTGGGAACTATAAAATGAAACCAATAGGATGAATGAATGACTTTTATTCTTGTTAAGCATTTATTTGGTACCTACTACATGCTTTGTATAGTTGACTCAACCTTCAAACTCTATCCATTATGAAGCCACTGTTTACTGTGCCCACTGCCTATCTCTAATCTAGCCACCTTCACCTCTCACCTGGAGCATGGGAACATACTACATCTCTAACAGCAAATTATTGTTGAGAAACAACCTCATTGTTCTGCTATTTTTTTTTTTTTTTTTTTGAGACGGAGTCTCGCTCTGTCGCCCAGGCTGAGTGCAGTGGCCGGATCTCAGCTCACTGCAAGCTCCGCCTCCCGGGTTCATGCCATTCTCCTGCCTCAGCCTCCTGAGTAGCTGGGACTACAGGCGCCCGCCACCTCGCCCGGCTAGTTTTTTTGTAGTTTTAGGAGAGACGGGGTTTCACCGTGTTAGCCAGGATGGTCTCGATCTTCTGACCTCGTGATCCGCCCGCCTCGGCCTCCCAAAGTGCTGGGATTACAGGCTTGAGCCACTGCGCCCGGCCCGCTATTTCTGCTATTACAGAAAACATTAGTAAATGTCTTTGCTGTAGATCACTCTTGTTTTTAATTTCAATTTTTGGTAATTTATGTATGTATGTGTGTGTGTGTGTGTGTGTGTGTGTGTGTGTGTGTATATATTTTTTTTTTTTTTTTTGAGACAAGGTCTTGCTTTGTTGCCCAGGCTGAAGTATGATGGCATAAATGTCAGGGTTCACAGCCTCGACTTCCTGAGCTCATGATCCTCCCAGCTCAACCTTCCTTTTTTCTTTCTTTCTTGAGACAGAGTCTCACTCTGTTGTCCAGGCTGGAGTGCAGTGGCAGTGTGATCTCAGCTCACTACAAGCTCCGCCTCCCGGGTTCACACCATTCTCCTGCCTCAGCCTCTTGAGTACTGGGACTATAGGCACCTGCCACCACGCCCGGCTAATTTTTTGTATTTTTAGTTGAGATGGGGTTTCACCGCATTAGCCAGGATGGTCTTGATCTCCTGACCTCGTGATCCCCACCTGCCTACGGCCTCTCCCAGTGCTGGGATTAGGCGTGACCACCAGCGCCCTTCCCGCTCTCACCTCAACCTCTTGAGTAGCTGGGACTACAGCTGTGCACCACCACACCCTGTTAATTTTTGATTTTTAGTAGAGATGAAGTCTGCTGTGTTACCAGGCTGGTCTTGAACTCCAGAGCTCAAGTGATCTTCCCACCTCGGCCTCCTGAAGTGTTGGGATTACAGGGCATGACCATCACACCTGGGCGTCCTGAAACTCTTGTTTCTTCTTAAACATTTCTTTAGAGTAATTTTGAAACATGAGATTACTTGGTCAAATGACGAAGCCTTCTGCAGCTCTTGCTCTGTGTTATCCTGTTGCTTTTCTTGAGCTGGAAGCTAGCAGGCAGTTCATGAAAATGATGTCACTTCTTCTAAAAGTATCACCGTTTTTGTCTTCTATTATTTGTAGGTATAAACAATACATACAATTCAAATTTATTTATAATTTTTATACTGGTGTATCAAAAATCTGAGCCTAATTCTAAGGAGATAAACATATGAGTCATGTGTGTAGGAACGAGAAGAGGAGCTTTCGGAGTTGATTGCAGTTTCTTGTTCAAGAAGCTCACCAGATGGTAGAACAAGAGACAGCAACAGGGTAGTTGAAAAGGGCGTTAACGTTTGGGAAAGGTGAATCATTGAATTAATGAACTGAATTGAATTCACTTATACTGAAACATGGGAACCCAGGTAGAAATCAGCTACAAATCTGAAGTAGATTAAGAAGATTTAGCAAGTGAAACCTAGCGAGCTGTCACTACACTTTTATTAAAATGGTTAAAATAAGAAGAGTAGCTGGGACTACAGGCGCCCGCCACCTCGCCCGGCTAGTTTTTTTGTAGTTTTAGTAGAGACGGGGTTTCACCGTGTTAGCCAGGATGGTCTCGATCTTCTGACCTCGTGATCCGCCCGCCTCGGCCTCCCAAAGTGCTGGGATTACAGGCTTGAGCCACTGCGCCCGGCCCGCTATTTCTGCTATTACAGAAAACATTAGTAAATGTCTTTGCTGTAGATCACTCTTGTTTTTTTTTAATTTCAATTTTGTGTTATGTATGTATGTGTGTGTGTGTGTGTGTGTGTGTATATATTTTTTTTTTTTTAAATTTTTTTTTTGAGACAAGGTCTTGCTTTGTTGCCCAGGCTGAAGTATGATGGCATGATATCAGTTCACTACAGCCTCGACTTCCTGGGCTCAAGCGATCCTCCCAGCTCAACCTTCCTTTTTTTTTTTTCTTTCTTGAGACAGAGTCTCACTCTGTTGTCCAGGCTGGAGTGCAGTGGCAGTGTGATCTCAGCTCACTACAAGCTCCGCCTCCCGGGTTCACACCATTCTCCTGCCTCAGCCTCTTGAGTACTGGGACTATAGGCACCTGCCACCACGCCCGGCTAATTTTTTGTATTTTTAGTTGAGATGGGGTTTCACCGCATTAGCCAGGATGGTCTTGATCTCCTGACCTCGTGATCCACCTGCCTCGGCCTCCCACAGTGCTGGGATTAGAGGCGTGAGCCACTGCGCCCTTCCCGCTCTCACCTCAACCTCTTGAGTAGCTGGGACTACAGCTGTGCACCACCACACCCTGTTAATTTTTTGATTTTTAGTAGAGATGAAGTCTCACTGTGTTACCCAGGCTGGTCTTGAACTCCAGAGCTCAAGTGATCTTCCCACCTCGGCCTCCTGAAGTGTTGGGATTACAGGCATGAGCCATCACACCTGGGCGATCACAAGAAACTCTTGTTTCTTCTTAAACATTTCTTTAGAGTAATTTTGAAACATGAGATTACTTGGTCAAATGACACGAAGCCTTCTTGGCTCTTGCTCTGTGTTATCCTGTTGCTTTTTCAAAGGGCTGGAAGCTAACGGGGAGCAGTTCATGACGAACTGTCACTAAAAGTATCACCGTTTTTGTCTTCTTATTTTGTAGGTATAAAACAATACATACAATTCAAATTTATTTTATAATTTTTTATACTGGTGTATCAAAAAATCTGAGCCTGATTCCTAAGGGAGATGAAACAACATGAGTCATGTGTGTAGGGAACGAGAAGAAGGGAGCTTTTTCAGGTTGATTTGCAGTTTCTTGTTCAAGAAGCTCACCAGATGGTAGAACAAGAGACAGCAACAAGGTAGTTGAAAAGGGCGTTAACGTTTGGGAAAGGTGAATCATTGAATTAATGAACTGAATTGAATTCACTTATACTGAAAGCATGAGACCCAGGTAGAAATCAGCTACAAATCTGAAGCGTAGATTAGAAGATTTAGCAAATTGAAACCACAACGAGCTGTCACTACACTTTTATTAAAATGGTTAAAATAAGAAATGGTGACAACTCACTAAAGAGTGAGTTCAGCAATGTTGCAGGATATGAGAGCAACACACAAAACTTAATTGCATTTTTATATGCCAACAATGAACATGTGGAAGCCAAAGTTAAAAGCACAATACTACTTAAACGGGCATGGTGGCTCACATCTGTAATCTCAGCACTTTGAGAGGCTGAGGCAGGCGGATCACCAGAGGTCAGGAGTTCGAGACCAGTCTGGCCAACTTGGTGAAACCCTGTCTCTATAAAAATACACAAATTAGCCAGGCATGGTGGCGGTTGCCTGTAATCCCAGTTACTCAAGAGGCTGAGGCAAGAGAATCACTTGAACCCAGGAGGCAGAGGTTGCAGTGAGCTGAGATCGCACCATTGCACTCCAGCCTGATCAAGAAAGCAAAAACTCCATCTTAAAAACAAACAAACAAAAAACACAATGCTACTTATAGTCACCCCAGAGAAAATATGATGCTTAGGTATAAATTTAACCGACAGGTATAGGCTCTGTATGCTAAAAATAGTAAAATGATTATGAAGGAAGCCAAAGAGGACCTAAAGAAATGGACTGACGTACTGTGTTCATGGATTGCAGGATAGTATAGTAAAGATGTCAGTTCACCCCAAACTGGTCTATAGGTTTATGTAATTCTTCTCAAAATCTCAGCAAGCTTTTTGTATAGACATGGAGCTTCTTTTAAAATTTACATGGAGGTTCCAAGTCTTTGCTATTGTGAATAGAGCCGCAATAAACACATGTGTGCATGTGTCTTTATAGCAGCACTCATAGGTGGGAATTGAACGATGAGATTACTTGGACACCGGAGGGGGAACATCACACACCAGGGCCTGCCATGGGGTGAGGAGAGGGGAGAGGGATAGCATTAGGAGATATACCTAATGTAAATGACGAGTTAATGGGTGCAGCACACCAACATGGCACATGTATACACATGTAACAAACCTGCATGTTGTGCACATGTACCCTAGAACTTAAAGTATAAAAAAAAAAATTTACATGGAGGCGCTGGACATGGTGACTCATGCCTGTAATCCCAGCACTTTGGGAGGCCAAGGTGGGCGGATCATGAGGTCAGGAGATCGAGACCATCCTGGCTAACATGGTGAAACCCCGTCTCTACTAAAAATACAAAAAATAAGCTGGGCGTGGTGGCGGGCGCCTGTGGTCCCAGCTACTTGGGAGGCTGAGGCAGGAGAATGGCGTGAACCCGGGAGGTGGAGGTTGCAGTGAGCCGAGATCATGCCACTGCACTCCAGCCTGGGCAACAGAGCAAGACTTCATCTCAAAAAAAAAAACCAAAAAACAAAAAACTTAAATGGAGGCGCCGGACACGGTGGCTCACGCCTATAATCCCAGCACTTTGAGAGGCTGAGGTGGGCGGATCACCGGAGGTCCGGAGTTCAAGACCAGCCTGGCCAACATGGTGAAGCCATGTCTTTACTAAAAATACAAAAATTAGCCAGGCATGGTGGCGGACGCCTGTAATCCCAGCTATTCAGGAGGCTGAGGCAGAAGAATTGCTTGAGCCCAGCCTGGGCGACAAGAGCAAGACTCCGTCTCAATAAATAAATAAATAATAAAAATTCATATGGAAAGGCACAAGCCCTAGAATAGCTTAAACATCTTGAAGAATAAAGTATAAGTAAGCATGCTAATTGATATTAAGACATATTTTAGAGCTACAGTACTCAATACACTATAGCATTCATGGAAAAATAGAAACATAAATCAGTGGGGCCAGGTGTGGTGGCTCATGGCTGCAATCCCAGCACTTTGGGAGGCCGAGGCAGGTGGATCACCTGAGGTCAGGAGTTTGAGACAAGGCTGGCCAACATGGTGAAACCCCATCTCTACTAAAAATACAAAAAATTAGCCAGGTGTGGTGGCGCAGGCCTGTGCTCTCAGCTACTTGGGAGGCTGAGGCATGAGAATTGCTTGAACCCAGGGGGCAGAGGTTGTAGTGAGCTGAGATTACACCTCTATGCAACAGAGCAACACTCTGTCTCAAAAACAGAAGAAACATAAATCAGTGGAAGAGAATAGATAACTTAGAAATAGACCAAAGCATATATGCCCGTCTGATATTTGAAAAAGGTACAAAAGCTATTCAATAGAGGAAGGATAAATTTTTCAACAAATTGTACTAGATAAGGTGGTTATCAACAGGCAGAAAAATGAACATCAACATAAGCCTCACACCTCATACAAAAACTAACTCAAAATCGATCATGGACTTAATAATTTTTCAGAAAAAAGGAGATAGGGCTTGGCAAAGAGTTCTTGAGCTTGACTCCAAAAGTATAATCCATGAAAGTAAAAATTGATACATTGAACCTCATCAAAATAAAACCTACTCTTTGAAACACCTCATTAGAGGATAAAAAGATGAGCTACAAACTGGGTGAAAGGATTTTTAAGTCATACATATGACAAGGGACTCAGATCTAGAATATATAAACAACTTTCAAAACTTAACAGTAAACAAAAACAGACACACAATCCAATTAGAAAAAGAGCAAACAGTAAGACCCCATCTCTACAAAAAAATACAAAAATTAGCCAATGTGGTGGTGCACACCTGCATACCTAGTATTCCTGAGAATTGAAAATATATGTTCACAAAAATTTGTATGCAAATCTTATAGCACCATTATTCATAAGAGGCAGACAAGAATGAAAACAATGCAAACATCCATCAATTGATGACGGAATGAACAAAAATGACTCTTCAGCCAAAGAAAGAAGTGAACATGCTACTAATGCACACTACAATGGGGATGAACCTTGAAAACTTGGTGCTAAGTGAAATTAGACACGAAAGGCCACATACTGTGTGATTCCATTTATATGAAATGTCCAGATGAGACATCCGTAGATACAGAAAGTAGATTAGTGGTTGTCAGAAGCTGGGGTGAGGAGGGAGTAGTGAGTGACTGCTAATAGGTACAGAGTTTTTATTTTGGGAATTGGTGAAACCGTTCTAAAATTAAACTGTAGTAGACTGGGCATGGTGGCTCACACCTGTAATCCCAGCACTTTGGGAGACCAAGGTGGGCAGATCACGAGGTCAGAAGACCGAGACCATCCTGGCCAACATGGTGAAACCCTGTCTGTACTAAAATACAAAAATTAGCTGGGCATGGTGGTACACGCCTGTAATCCCAGCTACTCAGGAGGCTGAGGCAGGAGAATTGCTTGAACCCGGGAGGCAGAGGTTACAGTGAGCTGAGATTGCACCACTGCACTCCAGCCTGGGCGACAGAGTGAGACTCCATCTCAAAACAAACAACAACAACAAAAATACTGTAGTAATGGTTTAAAACTCTTGAATATACTAAAAGCCATTGAATTGTACACTTTCAAAGGATAAAAATTTTTTGGTATGTGAATTATACTTCAAGCTACTAAAAAAGATATATCAATTATTTAATGTTAATGGACAATTCCAATGTATCCAGTTTTTTCTGTTACAACGCTGCAAGGAACTTACTTGAACATTCATCTTTATGCCTCAACCTTCCTGGTAGTTCTATGAGATATAGTGAAGGAAGGGGAGGTATTGTCTTTGTAGTCTTTATTGTGGTAACCAGTGACCAGTAGTAGAATAGTATTTCTTTTGAGTGCTTAGACACTTTGAATTTCTGTAAAACTGAGGTTTCATGGTCGTAGGCAGCCAAGATAGTGTTGACAACCCGCATGGAGAAGGAGTTGGTAGGATAATCCTGGGTACTCTTGAGGGGAGAAGGGAGACTGGAGTAAGGAAGGGAAGGAAAAAGATGAGCAGGACGTTGAAAGCCTCTTGTGGGGTTTTCGTACTTCCTTTCTGGCTTTATAGAGAGCTCTTGGTTTAAATTGGACTGGTTTCTCTTTTGCTTTTTCCCTGTCAGGTGAAGGCATTCTCATCTCGTCAGAGGCTTCAGAGCTTCTCGATTTCATAGACAACCAGGGCCAAGTGCACGTGATCCAGAAATATCTTGAGCACCCTCTGCTGCTTGAGCCAGGTCATCGCAAGTTTGACATTCGGTAATGCATTCACGTCCATAGCTTTTGTTTTTCTTCATCTGAAAAAACTGCCGTGGTATACGGTGGGGAGAGGGACATGGAATATGAGGAAGTGTTTGACCATGTTTAATATGTTACCAAAATTGAGCGCAGCTGAGCGGAACTGAGCTTCTGTACCTAATTTTCTATTTTTCTTTCTTCTTTTTTCCATCTAGGAAATGTTACTACAATTAATGGGTTTTCTTTTTTAAAAAATATTCTTTTCTGGCCAGGCACAGTGGCTCACGCCTGTAATCTCAGCACTTTGGGAGTCCGAGGTGGGCAGATCACCTGAGGTCAGGAGTTTGAGACCAGCCTGGCCAACATGGTGAAACCCCATCTCTAGTAAAAGTACAAAAATTAGCTGGGCATGGTGGCAGGCGCCTGTAATCCCAGCTACTCGGGAGGCTGAGGAAGGAGAATCACTTGAACCCGGGAGGGGAGGTTGCAGTGAGCTGAGATTGTGCCATTGCACTCCAGCCTGGGCAACAGAGCGAGACCTCCTGTGTCAAAAAAAAAATCTTTTCTATGAAAATGACTTGTGGATTCAAAGAAATGAATATAAATGTATGATCTTGCTTATCGAATCAACTGAGAGATGTACATGGAACACGTAATTCAGACACAACAGGTTGTGCAACCTTGCCAAATAATTTCTCCTCACTTCATTATTTGTGTCCCACTCTGTGGATTTTATGACCACACCTCAGGGGATTGTACGTTTCTGAGCAAAGGGCTTGGCATGGAGAAACAGGTTGTGTGGTGCATTCTAAAGCTAAACAGCCCTGCCTCTTCAACTTACCCTTGGTCTTGCTGTCAGCTCCTTACCAAGGACTCTGTCTCCTTGATTGCTTCATAATGATTTGTCGCTTCTTGAACATCAACCCTATGTCAGATCATCTTTAGGAGGAACACTATTAAGATTACTAGAAGAGGAGACATGACAAATGGAGGTTTCATAGGTGAACCTTAAAATCCAGCCCATCTAGGGCTGGGTGCGGTGGCTTATGCCTGTCCAGCACTTTGAGAGGCCAAGGCGGGTGGATCACCTGATGTCAGTATTTCGAGACCAGCCTGGCTAACATGGTGAAACCCTGTCTCTACAAAAAACGCAAAAATTAGCCGGGCGTAGTGGCATGCGCCTGTAATCCCAGCTACTCAGGAGGCTGAGGCAGGAGAATTGCTTGAACCTGGAAGGCGGAGGTTGCAGTGAGCCAAGATCACACCATTGCACTCCAGCCTGGGCAACAAAAGCAAAACTCCATCTCAAAAAAACCAAAAACCAAAAACAACCCATCTGAATCTCTTCAAAATGCTTTATTTATCTTTTGATCAAAATCTCCTTGTTATTTATGGTAAAATGTTTTGTTTGCCTCATTGTAGTGATAACTCACTATCTTAGCTAAATCATAATATGCCTTTTATAGTTTTAGAAACGTCCTCCTTCCCTAGTTGCCTCCCACTCCTCACCTACCCCCTGAAAGAAGTCAAGATGTGGGGATTGATGTATATAATATGCAGAAACTTTGGATGACTTGAGTAAAGCAGTGTTTTTGTTGAATTGCAGAAGCTGGGTCCTGGTGGATCATCAGTATAATATCTACCTCTATAGAGAGGGTGTGCTTCGGACTGCTTCAGAACCGTATCATGTTGATAATTTCCAAGACAAAACCTGCCATTTGACCAATCACTGCATTCAAAAAGAGTACTCAAAGAACTACGGGAAGTATGAAGAAGGAAATGAAATGTTCTTCAAGGAGTTCAATCAGTACCTAACAAGTGCTTTGAACATTACCCTAGAAAGTAGTATCTTACTACAAATCAAACATATAATAAGGTAACTTAATTGTATCTTTTTTGATTACGTGCTTCTTCTTGAAAGAGCTTTAGGTGTCTATGCCTTTCAATGAACTTTCATATAAGTTGTCTAATTTATGGGCACAAATTTTTTGTAATATTCCTTTATTTTCCTTTTAATGTCTGTAGGTTCTGTAATGATGTCTCCTCTTTCATTTCTGATCATGAATTTTTATATATATATAAACTTATATATATATGTGTGTGTGTGTGTATATATATATATTTTTTTTTTGTAGACAGAGTTTTGCTCTTGTTGCCCAGGCTGGAGTGCAATGGTGCGATCTCGGCTCACTGCAACCTCCGCCTCCTGGGTTCAAGCAATTCTCTTGCCTCAGCCTCCCAAGTAGCTGGGATTACAGGCATGTGCCACCATGCTGGGCTAATTTTGTATTTTTAGTAGAGATGGGGTTTTTCCACATTGGTCAGGCTGGTCTCGAACTCTTGACCTCAGGTGATTCACCCCCCCTTGGCCTCCCAAAGTGCTAGGATTACAGGCGTGAGCCACCATGCCTGGCTAATTTTTATTTTCTCTCTATTTTGCTTGGACAGATTGACTATACATTTATCAATTTTATCAACCTTTTCAAAAAATTCGCTTTTGGTTTTGTTGGTTTTCTCTATTTTTCTTTTCAGCTTATTTTATTTATGCACTTTATTATTCTCTTCTTTTTGCTTTTTGGAGGATATAATTTACTCTTTTTCTAGATGTGCTTTTTGTTTGTTTTTTAAGGGATGGTGTCTCATTTTATTGCCCAGGCTGGAGTACAGTGGTGTGATCATGGCTCACTGCTGCCTCAAACTTCTTGGCTCAAGGGATCTTCCTGTCTCAGCCTCTCAAATAGCTGGGACTACAGGTGTACACCACTGTGCCTGGCTCATTTTTTTATTTTTTGTAGAATTGGGTCTCACTGTCTTGCCCGGGCTAGTTTCAAGCTCCTGGGCTTACGCAGCCCTCCCATCTTGGTCTCCCAGAGTGCTGGGATTATAGATGTGAGCCACCATGCCCAGCCTATTCCAGTTTTTTTTTTTTTTTTTTTGAGACGGAGTCTTGCTCAGTCGCCCAGGCTGGAGTGCGGTGGCCGGATCTTGGCTCACTGAAAGCTCCGCCTCCCGGGTTCACGCCATTCTCCTGCCTCAGCCTCCAGAGTAGCTGGGACTACAGGCGCCCGCCACTACGCCCAGCTAGTTTTTTTGTATTTTTTTAGTAGAGACGGGGTTTCACCGTGTTAGCCAGGATGGTCTCGATTTCCTGACCTCGTGCTCTGCCCGTCTCGGCCTCCCAAAGTGCTGGGATTACAGGCGTGAACCACGGCGCCCGGCCTCCAGTTTTTAAGGTGAAAGGTTAAATAATTGATTTGAGATATTTCTTTTTCTTTTTTTTCTTTCTGGTTTTTTTTTTTTTTTGAGACGGAGTTTTGCTCTTGTTGCCCAGGCTGGAGTGCAATGGTACAACGTCAGCTCACCGCAACCTCTGCCTCCTGGGTTCAAGCGATTCTTCTGCCTCAGTCTCCCGAGTAGCTGGGATTACAGGCATGTGCCACCATGCCCAGCTAATTTTGTATTTTTGGTAGAGACAGGGTTTCTCCATGTTGGTCAGGCTGGTTGAGATATTTCTTTTTTAAAAAAATAAAAGCATGTCTCAAGATTCCCTCTAAATTTTGCATCAGCTGAATCCCACAGATTTTGCTATGTTTTCATTTCCATTTTATTAAAATATTTTCTAATTTCCCTTATGATTTTATCTTTGATTCATGTGATTTAGCAATTTTTGTTTAATATCCAAATATTAGGTCAGGAAGAGACATTGTCTGGTTTCATCTTTAAAAGTTGCTAAGATTTGTTCCATAGCCCAGGAGGTCTTTTAGTAATGTTCCATGTGCACTAAAAGAATGTGTACTTGGCTATAGTTGGGCAGAGGGTTCGTTTTTATTTTTATATTTTTTGAGACAAAGTCTTACTTTGCTTCCTGGGCTGGAATGCAGGGGCACAAACATGGTTCGCTGCAGCCTTAACCTCCTGGGCTCAAGCCTAAGTAGCTGGGACTACAGGTGCATTCCGCCATACCCACCTAATTTCTGTATATTTTTTTGTAGAGACAGGGTTTTGCCCTGTTGCCCAAGCTGGTCTCGAACTCCTGGGCCCAAGCAATTCTCCCATCTTGGCCTCTCAAAGTGCTGGGATTACAGACATGAGCCACTGCACCTGGCCTTATTCTGCTTGTTCTATTTATTACTCTTGATCTTAGCCAAAAGGCTGAGAAGCGATGCTTGTTCTATTTATTATTGAAAAGAGAGGCACTGAAGTCTCCACATATAATTATGGATTTGTATATGTCTTTCAGTTTTGTCGGTTTTTGCTTCATGTCTTTTGATGATCTGTTATTAGATGCATATATATTTAGGATTATTATATCTTCTTTGGGAATTGACTCTTTTATTTATCATTATGTGATTTTCTTTCCTTTCTCTCTTGTTTTCTTTTTCTTTCTTTTTTTTTTTTTTTTTGAGGTGGTCTGACTCTGTTGCCCAGGCTGGAGTTCAGTGGCATGATCTCAGAATACTGCAACCTCCACCTCCCAGGTTCAAGCCATCCTCCCACCTCAGCCTCTGGAGCAGCTGGGACTACAGGCACATGCTATCATACCTGGCTAATTTTTGTATTTTTTTTGTACAGACAGGATTTCACTATGTTGCCCAGACTGGTCTCGAACTCCTGGACTCAAGCAGTCTACACACCTCAGCCTCCCAAAGTGCTAGGATTACAGGCGTGAGCCAACATGCCCAGCCAGTATTTCTTATTTATTTATCTAATTTTTATATAACCAATCTAGCTTTCTTTTGATTAATGTTTCCATGGTATATCTCCATGTTTTGAGTATGTTTCCATCCTTTTATTTTCATTCTATTCTATTCTATACTGTCCCTAGGTGTTATATTCTATATTTAAAGTAGTTTTCTGGTAGACAGCGTATAGTTGGGTTTTGTATTTTTATTTTATTTTATTTTATTTTAATTATTTGAGACGGAGTTTTACTCTTGTTGCCCAGACTAGAGTGCAATGGTGCGGTCACGGCTCACTGCATCCTCTACCTCCTAGGTTCAAGCTATTCTCCTGCCTCAGCCTCCTGAGTAGCTGGGATTATGGACATGTGCCACCATTCCCGGCTAATTTTGTTTTGTGTTGTGTTTGTTTTTTTTTTTTTTTTTTGAGACGGAGTCTTGCTCTGTCGCCCAGGCTGCAGTGCAGTGGCGTGATCTCGGCTCACTGCAAGCTCCACCTCCCAGGTTCTCACCATTTTCCTGCCTCAGCCTTCTGAATAGCTGGGACTACAGGCGCCCGCCACCACACCCAGCTAATTTTTTGCATTTTTAGTAGAGACAGGGTTTCACTGTGTTAGCCAGGATGGTCTCTATTTCCTGACCTCGTGATCCTCCCACCTTGGCCTCCCAAAGTGCTGGGATTACAGGCATGAGCCACCGCGCCCAGCCTAATTTTGTATTTTTAGTGGAGATGAGGTTTCTCCCTGTTGGTCAGGCTGGTCTTGAACTCCTGACCTCAGGTGATCCACCCGCCTCAGCCTTCCAAAGTTCTGGGATTACAGGCATGAGCTATGGCACCTGGCCCTGTATTTTAATTTTAATCAAATATGATAATCACTGTCATTTAATTAGTGTGTTTATACTACTTAAATGTAATGTAATTATTGTATTGGACTCACATCTGCCATCTTATTATTTGTTGTCTGTCCCCTCCTTTATTGTAGTTTCTGTTTTTGTTTTTTGTGTATCCTTTTCCCATCTTCTTTTTAATTATGTGAAATATTTTTAGAGTTTTATTTTAATTTTTCTGTTGAGTATTTGCCTCTCTGTCTTTGTGTGTGTGTGTGTGTGTGTGTGTGCTTGCTCTAGGAATTACAATATAGTTATCAATTGTTTCACAGCCTTCTTAGAGTTAATAATTTACCACTTCAAATAAAATGCAAAAACCTTATAACATAGTTCACTAACTCTTGCCCTCTGTGTTATAGTTATCACATGTATATATCTACACATTGAAATCTCTACCACATAATGTTGTTATTTTTGCTATCAACAGTTTTTTATATATATATATATTTGTACAGGTATGATACCGATTATCAGGTTGGATTATTATTATTATTATTTTTTTTTGAGACGGAGTCTGGCTCTGTCGCCCAGGCTGGAGTGCAGTGGCCGGATCTCAGCTCACTGCAAGCTCTGCCTCCCGGGTTTACGCCATTCTCCTGCCTCAGCCTCCCGAGTAGCTGGGATTACAGGCGCCCGCCAACTCACCCGGCTAGTTTTTTGTATTTTTAGTAGAGACGGGGTTTCACCATATTAGCCAGGATGGTCTCGATCTCCTGACCTCGTGATCCACCCGTCTCCGCCTCCCAAAGTGCTGGGATTACAGGCTTGAGCAACCGCGCCCGGCCAGGTTGGATTATTTTTAAACTATAAAACCAAACTCTATACTGTCTATAAGAAACCCACTTTATAAAAGGGGAAAAGTATTCTTTTATATTTACCCAGATACTACTTTTGTATTTCCTTCAGTTGCGAAGTTCTGAGATTCTCTCTGGTATCGTTTCCCTTCAGACTTAAGCATTTCTTTTAGAGTTTTTATATTTACCCATATACTTCCTTAAGTTTTAAAGTTCTGAGTTTCTCTCTTAAGCATTTCCTTTAGAATAGTTTTGCTGCTGGTAAATCCTCTTAGTTTTCTGTCACCTGAGAATGTGTTTATTTCACTGTCTTCCTGAAGGGTATTTTCACTGGATTTATACAAATATAATATTAAGCAAAAAAAAAAAAAAATGCAATAAATACAAGCTATATAGAAGATGTATACAAATTTATTTCACTTACATAAATTTAAAAAGCAAGTAAAATTAAATAATGTTTTATTTAGCTAAATACACATGTATGGTAAACATGTAAAGCAAAACAAAGAAGTAAT